AAATATTCATGACAAACATCTGGCATGATGAATATTCATAACAAAAGTGGTGTGAACAATGGAGTGGGCTGCATTTTGTCCTCTCTGCTCTACCAGGAACACAGAGAAAGCTTTTCACTAGAGATTCACAGATATTTGTCTGGTGAACTCTGCGCACACTTCTGTTCAGCTGTAACAGGAATAGAAGTCCTCTGAGAACCGTACTCAGCTTCCCAATTACTTTGAACAGGTGACATTTGTCCTATATACCAACCCCAACACTCCAACTAACCCTGTGCAAACCATATGGGACCCTGGACTTCCATTCCTGTCACACCGCTACCACAGTGAACTCTGGGCGACCACAACACCAGGCAAAACTGATCAGTTGCTTCACAGGTGGAACAGACCCTAACTTTGAGGAAATAAGATATATATATATATATAATTTTTAAATGGGGAAGAAGTACTGGGTTATGTTCAGTAAGTGGGAGATATTTACAAATGACCCTTGGAAGATCCTTAATGCTGTTTATAAGATCTTATCACTTTGACGGTAGATCTGACACCCCCCCCCCCCAAAAAAAAAAAAAAAAAAAAAAAAAGAATGTTAACAAGCTTCGTGAATATATTCTGAGGAACCCCTAGTTAACCAACTGATCAACTTTGACTGGCCTAAAAGACCTGACACCCAAGACGAGGTCATTTCAAACAAATCATCATCTTGTTACAGACTTCCAATTTACACCAAAATACCCACTTTTCTGCAGCATCATGTCAATACTTCACTTTGATATAATGAAAACCAAGTAACAAATTTCCAATTAAACTATGTTTGCTAAAACATTATAAAAACACAACAACAACAAGAAACGCAATTTGCTGTCAAAAAACATATCACAACCTCGTTTTACAACAATTATGAAATGAATGAAATTGTTTCACGGTACCAACACCTGAAGACAAATTATCAAGTTGTGACTATTTAGTCATGGCAAATGCACCCTACTAGCAAAATCCCCTAAACTAATGAAAAACCACTACCGCCAAAAAATTAAAAAATACGGTACATGCAAATATTACAAGACTGGGTGAGCATTGACAATGCCAGGCAAAAACTACATATATATAAGTATTGTATAAAATTTTTCCGCATATCAACAAGCCCTCTATTAAGCCCAGTTCCGACTAAATGTAACATGATGTTTGCGTTACAGATCCTTTAAAGATTTGATTTAAAAAAAAAAGAAGTACCTAAATCTTTAAATACAGTTTAAATTCCATTTTCTCAAGTAACAACATTGTCTATATTGCAAACAATTAGTTTTAAATGAGATTTTATGCTGCTCTTTTTGCACATGTGATATACAATAAATATTACAAATATCAAAATATGGGAACAACTACATCAGTAAGTCTTCTGTATTTCCATAACCTCTAAACAAATCATGTGTAAATATGGAGAGGATAAAACATCCCCGATCGAAAAAAAAAAAAAAAAAAAAAAAACACAAAAACTAAAAATGACCTTGCGATTTCATTGACAATTCTGATTTCATTGATAATTACAGATGTGACATATAGATGATCTAAATATACTGAAACATATTATTTATAACACATTTAACTACCTGCACACAGTACTAAAAATTAAAAAAATATAAAGTAATGTCCAGGTATATGAGACCCAATCTGAATTTAGCAACTACATTGGAACATTTATTCTGAAGGCAAATTTTGTTCCACAAGGTCTCTGTTTTACTACCAACCATAGCATACTCATCATGCCTGGTGCAATATAAAATAAAGATTGGGCCTCCATGTTCCTATGCTAAGATAAAGGTTATAAAATTTAATGACATAAAAAGTACATGTGCAGGTAATAAGTACAGCATGTCCTGTCCACCAAAAGACAAGGTGTTGCACATGTTCAAGTCTAACTGCACCAGGTATAACTATAAACTATGCTATATTATCAAGCCATTAAGTAATTATATAAATAGACGTGAGACGGATTTACCATGAGTGAGCATGCATTTTAACATTTAGCCTTCATGAGTTTGTTATGTGCTTAAATCACTTATAGATCTGCACAGCAAGCTACTAATGCTTTTAAGCATTATTATTAGGTTCATGATGAAATAATCATTAGGTTTATGACATAAATGAAAGCTTATCTTTAAAAGGTAACTGATCCATGATTTTTTTCAAAGCTGCAATTAATGTTTCTCACAAAAGCAATATTAATAAAAAAAAGCATATTTTTCTCTTCAATAGTAAAACTCATAATTTTAACCCCAATTTCCCAAGCTTCCTTTCATGGATATATAGCAATATTACACCACAATTGTTAAGATCAGTCCCTATACTTAATACTACTAAGCAATCGCAAGCTGACATTGTACATACACACTTTATAACTACGTGTAACTGCTCTGCAATATTTCCACTGTCCAACTCTAGGAAGACTTTTTAGTCCACAACGGAGAGTCAATTTTACCATATGGCAGAGTCAATTTTAGAATGGCAACTGCTGTGAGACCTCCCTGATGTGATAAACACTGTGGTCCAGTACTATTAAGTACTGCTGATCACATTACAGTTTCACTGTTCGGGAGATTTAAGAAGCAAAGCAATTATCTTTCCTGACTGGGACAAATGAAGACATTTCAGGATAGTTGGAGTAATGATTTTCTAAAGTGATCTTTGTTACACATATTTTGAGACCACTTCCAGTGATCAAAATAGTTTTTTAATGATTTGATGTTCTCTCTCTCTCTTTCTCTTGACGCGTGTGCGTGTACGTGTGTGTGTGTGTGAGTGTGTGTGTGTACAAGCAAATGAACAGGCCAATACTATTTCATGCAATGAACGTCAACATTTTCATCCCACTGTGACAGTTAATATCTCACCAATTCCAATGACACCAAATCCCAAGACACCTTTTTAATAACATCTTTTTCCAATAACTGCCACAGAAAGACCATCATCACATTCTGCAGACTAGGTCACTTGGTTCAGTATTAACCATGTGATCAGCTGAGCAGACTGGATGTACAAAACAGTCATCAATCAGTACAGGTAGAATATATTCAAAATAAACCTTCTCTCAATGATACTAAATATCATTCAAAGCTGTTATTTGGACTAGCATCACACCGGTATAATTACAATTCATCAGGTGATTCTCTCTTACACAAAACCCTTCCACCTTGTTAATTGCCTTCATTTCTGACTGTTAGCTGTAACAGATTAAACATGATATGGTCATAACAGGACAAATTGCTATCAGCCAATTCTGAGCCCAGCAGTGACTAGTTGACGTGGACCTGTGTTAATTATATGTGACCTGTTCCTGAGTAAGGAATGATAAAAAGATCTCCCTCAAATCATCACCAATCAGTCTTGTCTCTTCTCTCTCTCATTTTCAGTTTTCTGGACTGATCTCAGTTTCATTATCAGCGTGTCATCCCCCCTTTCTCCGCTATATCACGGTGCCTTGATGAGTTTATAAGTGGTTGGGATCAATGATCTATACGGGCCCTCAGATCCCACCAGGAGTACCGGCTTCCCCTTATTGCTGAACCTAAGGAAGACAGAATTATTTTCAACATGAGCATATCTTATTTTTTTCTTCATGAGTCTACTACCTGATCTGTTTCAATGAACATGTATGTCTTAAATTCTTTTAGTTGCATTAACCACATTTGAAAATGTCCTCAAAGTCATATTTTTTATGGTTTCATATCCTGCAAAAACTGATTATCTTTCCTAATTCGGAGCTTTAAAATGTACCACTCAAATAAAAGTATGTGATGCCACTATTTCCCTCTGAAATTTACAAGAAGGCATGTCAGTCTAAGTGACTGGCCTGTCATTTAGAACTAAATTAATTATTAGAAATTATATACATCAATACGTAAGATCAGGGAAGGGTCTAGTCATGACCAGTGTAGGAGAAAATTGTTTTTTTTTCAAGAAAAAATTTGATTTGTTGGGTAAATTCTGGAAAAGAAACCTTCAAATACTGCAGTATGAGATGAAACTGTCAATTTAGGAATAACAGAGTACACTTAAGTTTTAGATTATTTATTAATTACTGAAACCACAGATTTTACTACTTATATGAAAAGCCCAACCCCATCTAAAATTCAGAGATGGTAAAAGTAAAGTGCTTTTAAGGAAAAACAATTTCTCAAATTGCTTTTTAATGGATCAATAAGTGTTACAAAGTGTCCACAATTCAGTATAAATGAAGATACCCACACACCCTATTAACTTTACCTTAAGTGAGTCTTAAACTAGTCACAATGGTCATTGATCTATTTAGTGGTTTTCTTATCTCCATATTCCCAGCACTCATTTTGCCTGCAGTTTTAACATTGGCCAACAATAATAATCTAAATTTCACTGAGCACCTAGGACTGGAATCAAAATGGATTTTTGGAATGCTATCAAATGGAGTAAATACAGGAAAATATGAGCAACTTTGAAGAAGACACTTGGTTTATCTACTCAGAATTTTAGACATTATGTCCTGTTACCATTCCAGTGATTCTGGAGTGCAACAGAAGTCCTCCTGTGTGACTAAATTCTCTCTCCCCCCCTCTCTTTCTCTCTCTCTCTCACAGGGGACTGTGACCTCCCCTGTGACCTTCACTCTTAGTCAATGTTACTTCATATTCCACTCCATGGTGACTCACCTCAACACCCCCTTGTGTAGACCCCTGGGGCTTGCCTTGGGGTACCAGAACAGGTGAAAACACTTGGCCAGCACCTGCAGTGTTTGGTAGTCTGTAGCACTGCTCTGGTGGTAGACCAGTACATAGCTACCCCTGGAGTGATAATATAGATATCATATACTAATGGGGAGGGGGGTGTCGTAATAAAATGGATTCATATACTAATGGGTAGGGGGGTGTCGTAATAAAATGGACGGCTTTTTCTGAAAAGAAAAGTGGATAAGATGCATTTATAGAATTTTGATTAAGTCCTTATTAAGAGAGGGACTTTGTGGAGCCAAAAATGTGCTTCCTGACTCCCTCCCCTGTTTACAGGCCTGACCATGAATTTCACTTTAGTTTGCTAAAATCATTAAATATGACCATCATGTCAACCATTACCAGTCACTTACTTTGAGGTATCAGGTAACTTGACAGAATCTGACTTGGCATTCAGGCAGTCTGTCACAGTGCTGCCCTCTACAAACTCAGCTGTCTTGATAAGATTTTGTAACAACTGCTCGTATTGGTCCTTTGTAAGTGCTTCGTGACCTTTGACCTTGACATTAGCATCTCTAAAAGAAAGAATGGGGACAAAATAGTAAATATTTTACAAAAATGTTGTTCTGAAATGGATACTTCAAATAACCAAGAGAAAAACTGTGTACTTGCACAAGCATATAATTACAAACCATAAAAACACAGTGGAGTACTTACAAGTTAGTGAGTCTAGGTTTATTAAATAGAGCTTGCATAAGTTCTGCATCTTCTGCTGACCCTTCATATTGCTGCCTGAACACCCTGGACACCTCTGGAACCAACATCTCACTGTCTCCCCACAGCTGTGCCAGCCAGCCATGCCACGTACTGCAGGAATAATAATAATAATAATAATAATAATAATAA